CCAGGTGAGAGGTGATGGAGTGGCAAGTGGTGTCGGCGGTGCAGTATTAACGCAGCCTCCCACCAGGGGCCTGACCTAGCTCATCCCCCGCCCGACCTGACCATCCCTGGTGCTGGCGGTCTACCTGCAGGTCGTCATCAAGGAACACTGTAACCATCCAGGTGGCAGGTCGTCAAGGAACAATGAAACACATGTGTCTGTAAAAAACCTTCTCTATTTACATTGTTTACTTACAGTACAGGTAAATACAATACAGGATGGCAACACCTAAACCTTCCAGGCTGCTACCTGTCTGTGTGATGGCCGCCCAGGTACCCACGTACCCACGTACCCAGGTACCCACGTACCCACGTACACACGTACCCAGGTACCCAGGTACACTGGTACCCAGGTACACAGGTACCCAGGTACACAGGTACCCAGGTACACAGGTACACAGAGGCAAAGAGAGGTACACTGGCGGGAGGCATCACACAGAGCGAGCGGTCTCTCACACACAATAAGTACATGTGTTAAGGAACTGAAAGCCAAAACGGTACCGATGATTGATGAGTATTAACAAAAAGTCGAACCAAAGAATGATGAATGCGCGGCAGGTACAGCTACTATATATAAATATGTACCTATGTATATATTTACAAATTACAGCTATATGTATATACATTTATGTATATTAATTATTGTTGTGTGTGGTGGGAGAAGCGCAAGTATGATATGGTTGAGTGGCAGCGAGGCGGCGCACCTGCCTGCCTGCCCTACACGCTAACACACACACACACACACACACACACACACACACACACACACACACACACACACACACACACACACACACACACACACACACACACACGACACCAAAAAACGTGGTGAGCGGTGACACCTGCCGCTGGTGGTCACCTCAACTAAATATTCTGGTGATGAACACTTGGTAAACAATACCAACAACAACATTAAACTACTGGACGAGACTTGTTGACGTGAAGTCTAGCAGGGGCCCCATAAGTCCCTGGAGGGCCCACAAGTCCCTGGAGGGCCCACAAACTCTCTGGAAGGGCCATAAGCTTCCTGGACGGTCCACAAACTTTTAGGATGACTTACAACGTGTCTGAACATGCATGAAAAGTCACCGGAGGTACAAATAGCTTTCGGAGTACCAACAAGCTCTTTGTAGGAGGTGAACATTCTTCAGAGGGGCCCCCAGAGGGACTCCCTCGCTAACCAAAAGCCTCCAGTCGGACCCAAAGCTTCTTAGTGTTCAAAATGTATTTGAATGGTTGACCTGGTTTTCGGATTGTCCGCAAGCTTACCTCAAAGACCCGTACTTTATTTTTTTGTTTAAAGTACTTTCCCCACAGGTCTCACAAGCGCTCTGAAGTGCTTATATGAACCTTGGAGCGAGGGAGAGTGTCACTGTCACGAGACCAGCTTCACTGTCCGTCACAGCACGCCCCCCCCCTCCCACGCTCATGTCACCATTCATTATAAGCTGGTAATAATTCATTATATGGCGAGTGTGTTTCCCTGATACTCCTACCTTGCCAGGTCCCTGACCTTCCCTGATACTCCTACCTTGCCAGGTCCCTGACCTTCCCTCATACTCCTACCTTGCCTGGTCCCTGACCTTCCCTGATACTCCTACCTTGCCAGGTCCCTGACCTTCCCTGATACTCCTACCTTGCCAGCTCCCTGACCTCGCCTAAATGTATCTGTGCTTATGAGTTACGCAATGTTAGGCTATACCACAAGCCCACAACTATACTCTTGGACATACACACCTGCTGTTGGACACACACACACCTGTTGGACATACACACAAACAGATTATATCAGCAGAAACATATTTTTACAAGAAAATATTACAAGACAGCACATCAGATAGACATATTTGATTCATTCCGTCTCCACACGTGAACTGTGGAGGAGGAGACAGGTCACCAGACTTGCCTTGTGCTTCGGGTCCGTACAACGGCAGTAATGTTGGTGTTACACAGTGGTGTCCTGCCTTACACTGTAACAGTGGAGGTGGTGATTGGTGGTGGTGATGATGGTGAATGGTGGCGGGTGGTAGTGACTGGTGGTGATGTAATTGATGGTAGTGATAGTAGTTAGGATTGTGATGAATGGGGTTGTTTTAATGATGCTGTAGGTAGTTGATGTTGGTTGATAATTGGTTTTGGTTGTGATGGTTGTGATGACGTGAAATGGTGATGGTAGTGATTATAAAATGATACGGTAGTGATGGTGACCATGGATGGGATGGTTGACCTTTGACCTGAGTTACACATGCTGATACGTATTATTCACCTGAATCAGACACTAGGTGACTGCTTGCGGAGACCCCCCCCCCATCCAATCGCGGTCCCCCCCCCCCCTCCCCTCTCGCGCTTCCTCCTGCCCAACCACCCTGGACATTCAGCTACCTTGAGATGTGCTGTTACTTCCAGAACTACCAGAGAGGACTCCATAGTGTGGCGTGTAAGACAATGGACCTGACAGAGATCTTTCACTCTCATCACCCGTCTAGCATTTGGCCTGCTACTGTTTAAAGCATATTGACCTGAAGTTACCTGAGGGCCACTAGCACTCTTGTGACCTCGACGAGGACAGGAAGCCGGCGGCTTGTCAAAAATTCACCCATCTCCTGACTCCCGAGTTCAAAGTTTGAATTATGATTCGCCAATTGTGTTAATTTCTTAAATTTGTGGAATATTGCATTGTTTCTGGTTTAGAAGTGCGTGTTAATAACGTTAGGATGTAGCTCTATTAAAGTTAATCAAATAATTCTTTATAAAAAGTTTCTTTGGATTCATAACTTAATGATACTTGAGTAATAGTTCAGTAATGGATGGGAGAAGTTGAGCCCTTGAACACTGGTTCATCCAGTCTTGTAGCAGAGCTTAGTCAACACGTGAGTGGCCCTGGTGGACCTCAGGTTAGTTGACGGGTGTGCTGGTCCCGTCTATGTTGCTCTGTCGTCTGTCCCTCTGTGTCTATAGCTCTGTCTCACTGCCCTAACCCCTTCCTCTGTCTGTCTCACTGCCCTAACCCCTTCCTCTGTCTGTCTGTTAGAGTCATTGATCACTGACAATTTGCTAAGTTTGCAACAATTCTAATGAGCTAAATACATACGTAAACCTAATCTCTAAAAACCTTCTCCCCAGTAAACCTTTATTAGTGTAAACCTACCTTTTTCTTTTTAACTTATTTTCTTAAAATCAACTGACCTAATCGTTCTCTAAACCGTCTGTATAATTTGGGTATGCGTGACAGAGAAATGTGTCTGGGAGGTTAGACAGGCAGCAGAGAGTGTCTTGGCTATGCAAGTGGCATCATTGACCTCAAGCAACTATTAACACGTTTAGAACTGAAAGAGCCCGGCGGTGATAGGTTCCGCGTGCATTGGTTTACTAGTTAACACAATCTGACATAACTCAGGTCATTTAGGTCCGAGTTGAGTGATGAGGGGTTGAGGTCATGTGTTAAACAGTTGACATAATGAGTATTTTTAACTTAATGATTGCCTTTGTGCTCTTGAAGTACACTCACAATTGAGGCCAGCGTGTCTTAACGATCAATTTTCGTTCTTATGGCTATACACTTGCAGCATGGAATACAGTGTGGTACATGGTTCCTCATAATTCACATTTGTAACTTGGTTCATTACACGGTACAGATACACTGTACATCTGTACCTCATAAGATAAAGGAGATACATACGGTATACTTGTAACTCATAAAATATAGTCTTGTGACTCACAAGGTACACTGTAACTCACAAGGTACACTGTAACTCACAAGGTACACTGTGTAACTCACAAGGTACACTGTGTAACTCACAAGGTACACTGTGTTACTCACAAGGTACACTGTGTTACTCACAAGGTACACTGTGTGACTCACAAGGTACACTGTGTGACTCACAAGGTACATTGTGTGACTCACAAGGTACACTGTGTGACTCACAAGGTACACTGTGTGACTCACAAGGTACACTGTGTGACTCACAAGGTACACTGTGTGACTCACAAGGTACACTGTGTGACTCACAAGGTACACTGTGTGACTCACAAGGTACACTGTGTGACTCACAAGGTACACTGTACGACTCACAAGGTACACTGTGTGACTCACAAGGTACACTGTACGACTTACAAGGTACACTGTGTAACTCACAAGGTACACTATGTGACTCACAAGGTACACTATGTGACTCACAAGGTACACTATGTGATTCACAAGGTACACTGTACAACTCACAAGGTACACTGTACAACTCACAAGGTACACTGTGTGACTCACAAGGTACACTGTACAACTCACAAGGTACACTGTGTGACTCACAAGGTACACTGTGTGACTCACAAGGTACACTGTGTGACTCACAAGGTACACTGTGTGACTCACAAGGTACACTATGTGACTCATAAGGTACACTATGTGACTCACAAGGTACACTATGTGATTCACAAGGTACACTGTACAACTCACAAGGTACACTGTACAACTCACAAGGTACACTGTACAACTCACAAGGTACACTGTACAACTCACAAGGTACACTGTACAACTCACAAGGTACACTGTACAACTCACAAGGTACACTGTACAACTCACAAGGTACACTGTACAACTCACAAGGTACACTGTACAACTCACAAGGTACACTGTACAACTCACAAGGTACACTGTACAACTCACAAGGTACACTGTGTGACTCACAAGGTACACTGTACAACTCACAAGGTACACTGTACAACTCACAAGGTACACTGTGTGACTCACAAGGTACACTGTGTGACTCACAAGGTACACTGTACGACTCACAAGGTACACTGTGTGACTCACAAGGTACACTGTACAACTCACAAGGTACACTGTACAACTCACAAGGTACACTGTATGACTCACAAGGTACAAGATGCAAACAAACAAACACTGAATCACACCTTCGCTTCGCTTGAATACCCAAACAACCTCGTTTAACCCTAAGAGCGGCAATTAATCACTTATTCCCTGCCTGGGTTGATCATATTAATATCTTAATATCATCTTTCATCTTCACTATCAACACAAAAGAGTTTGTGCGGCGTAGTTTGAACTGATTTGTCGTTACATGTTCTTCCCCACCACGTGCACCAGCTGTGAGCTCACAAGCCAGCTGTGAGTCCAAGAACTGGCGGCGAGTCCGTGTGCCAGCTGCAAGTCCATGTCTTATATTGCTAATTTGCATCCCCTTTGTAGGTGCGCGTTTGCCACCTGTGGATGCGCGTTGTTGCAGGTGGTATCATCCCGAAGTCACGCATGGCGTCACACGAACCAGCTGCCCTACAACCATCATTGAGTTACCTCCTTCCTGTATTCCTTCTCTTGTATTGCGTCTTAAAGATTCTCTGCAAATTCTTCTGTATGGCAGAGTTGCAAGATCTCTGTTTTGAGCTGGTGTGGGGACTCGCCTCGCACGCTGGGGTCCGTGGCGGCAGTGGGGACACGCAGGACACCCCTGCCTGGAACTCCATGGACTTCCCTGGGCACGGAGGGACACGATGGGTGTCCTCGAAGTCGACCTGGGCACGGAGGAACACAATGAGTGTCCTCGAAGTCGACCTGGGCACGGAGGAACACAATGAGTGTCCTCGAAGTCGACCTGGGCACGGATTGACACGACGAGTGTCCTCGAAGTCGACCTGGGCACGGAGGGACACGACGAGTGTCCTCGAAGTCGACCTGGGCACGGAGGGACACGACGAGTGTCCTCGAAGTCGACCTGGGCACGGAGGGACACGACGAGTGTCCTCGAAGTCGACCTGGGCACGGAGGGACACGACGAGTGTCCTCGAAGTCGACCTGGGCACAGTAGATACCTTCGGGGTCAACCTGGGTATGGAGGAATATGATGTTCATCCTCTTTGTCATTGTAGCCTCTGAGGAACACGGAGGCCTTCCCGGGGGATAGCCTAGATGGAGAGGACACTGAGGAGGACGTAGTTTATCCCAGAGCTGAGAGAGACGGCTCAGTGGTCCTCGGGGCGTGAGCAGAGGAAGCGAGCTAACTCAGCGTCCAGCTGTTGGCTGAAAGACAAACAGAAAAACAAAATTGTTAAAGTTAAACACTCGATACAACAGTCATAAGGAAAACACGGAAGGAGCACAATGGTGACAGCAAGAGAGAACTAACTCAAGAGTATTGTTAGTGGCATCAAAGGTTTTGGTGTTGGTTCGTGGTTTGGAAGGTGTGCAGGGAGTCACACACACACACACACACACACACACACACACACACACACACACACACACACACACACACACACACACACACACACACACACACACACACACACACACGCACACACACACACCAGCAACATTGTCAGCTCACCACCAAACACTGCCACCCACTATTATATACTATAATTTGACATGTATGTAAATGGTCTTTGAAGTAATACATAATATATGATTATTATGATGATAATATTGGGGCTGTGAAAAGAGCTCTGGTGATCAAGTGCTGTGTGAGGCGTAGTGTGGGAGTGACATTGGGTCTTTAGCTTGATATTAAAAGTAAGCTACATTTAGCTGTAAGAACGTCTGAAGAAGCAAGAGATGCGGCGGTCTGCAGGAGAGTTCTGCGAGACGGGAGAAGGCTCGCATCTCCCGTGTTCGACCCCATCACATTCCTGCAAACAACATTTAAATATTCGACATTCTGGGGGTGCAACCCTTTCCTACATTTCAAAAGCAGCGTCCTTTTAGCTGGCCAATCTACAGACCTTTGGAAGGGTGATCTGATGGTGTACTCTGATGCTCCTGACACTATGACATGACCCGCTTGTGTTTGAAAATGCTTGCTTAGCCAGCAATGTGCGGCAGGTCACAGACCTCATCAGTCATCAGAACGATAAATGATTTGCTTGGTAAGGTGATCACGATCCATCAATACGCTAAATCCGGCGAGGCGGACCTAACGAGCATAACAGTGACCTCGGTGAAGGACACTGCTGCAGCTGGAGGGAGACTGCCACAACTGAAGCACAGAGAGCCCGAATATGGACGTAATTTTAAAATGAAAAAAAAAAAATGAATATAAATTTGGGATTTTTTTTCAATACCAGTAAGTTAAGGGTCCTCTGATAGGTTAGGTGGGCAGGAAATTCTCATAAAGTTTCAAAACGTTATGAAAAACGTTAATGGAAAGAATCCTCTTCTAAGCTTGCCGAGTAAGCCGGAAGACTCAAACAAAAAACGGAACAGTACGTCACTTTTGTGAGTCGATTTCATTTCAAATTTCGTCCAAATTTGGCCATAGCGCCGCGCATACCTGCGAAAAGTGACGTTATTTTTAAGAGGACGGGTTGTTCCACCCACAACAGTATATACATAATTTACTCCCCAGGGCCCAGATTCACGAAGCAGTTACACAAGCACTTACGAACCTGTACATTTTTTCTCAATCTTTTGCGGCTTTGTTTACATTTATTAAACAGTTAATGAGCCCCGAAGCCCCAGGAGGCTGTTTATAACAATAACAACAGTTGATTGGGAAGTTTTCATATTTGTGAACTGTTTAATAAATGTAACCAAAGCCTGCAAAGATTGAGGAAAGATGTATACGTTCTTAAGTACTTGCGTAACTGTTTCGTGAAGCTGGTCCCAGGACACTCACGTTGCCAACTTAGAATCGCTATATCTTTACGAGTAGAGTCCGTAAGCTCTATAAACCAATGGTTATTTGTGCCAGTTCTCGGCGTAGTTCAAGAGGCCAACTTGTCTAAGATCCCAAAGTTTGTCAACAATACACGCCTAGCATATTTCTCTACGAAATTAAACTCTTCGGTGCATCTCTTTATATTCACTGAAAAAGAGGGTCGGTAAAATCCGAGGTATTGGTAGTCCCCGCCTTGTAAACAGAGTAGTACCCGTAGTACTACGGGTCAGTAGTACGTAGTAATACTACGTAGTCAGTAGTACTCGCATGGAGGGCGTCACGATGTTTCCAGCAGACCACCTCTAAGGTCTCATTTACCTGAGGGCCACTAACACTAGTAGCCTCGACGAGGACAGGAAGCCGGCGGCTTGTTGACTGTCCCCCCCAATATGCCTTGATAAATGCCTCGCATCAGCGAAGAAACAGCCCATGCGGCACCAACCTTTATTAAAAAACTTCCCTGAAAGTAACACAACATTAAAACCAAAGTTTTTACAAGTAGAATACGTTTTTGGTGACGAGGTATTGAGAGCAGTGAGAGAATAAATGTTAGTCTCCTCTCCATCGTTTTACCTGGATGCAACAAGGATTCGACAAGGTTGTTTGGTAAATATAAAATTAGTTATACAGAGGGCGTCCATTAGGGAAACCCTATGGTTCATTCTTCTTCTGAATAGCCATGAGAATTGTGGGTAGAGTGAGCAGGGAATGTGGTCTGTGGTTCCTGGAGTGGCACTCTGGCAGGTAAAGGAGAAGCCCTGCTAGAAGACTTCCACCTGGGGAAGCATCACGAGGAGGAGTCTCGACTCAACCTGTACAAGTTTGAAATAATTTAATCAGACCAAGTAAGATGCACTTTACCAGGAGCCTCAACCATCTAACATAACAACAACAATCACCTAGAGAAACATTGGGTTCCAGTGCCATTGATGCAATCCTCATTGGAAGACTGAATGACCAAATGAATATAGAACCAAGAATAAGGGCTGTGGACGCCCACGATGTTTTGCACTTTACCACAAGGTGCGTGGCCTTGGTGATCAAACCACTAAACCATTCACTGTAAAAGACTGCTCGTCGGCCTAACCAATGCTTCCAGCTAAGACTTGGTCGTGTTGATATTACAAGGCAATGCCGATGGTGTTCCCTGTATTCTTGCTATCGTCCACTACTGCTGTGAATTACAGGAGAAGATCCTGTCAAATCATTTACATTCTGTTAAGATTCATAACTCGAAGTTCATTAAATGAGGCAGTCAATGGGATTCTCTTATGCAGCCTCTTCACCCCAAATGATTTCAAATTGGGAGATTCCCAAAGTGGAGAGTATCGTCTTAAGATTGTTTAAGACCGTTTCTAAGATAGAACCTGCCTCATAGCTTAGCGCCCCCTCATGCTTGGGATTTCCGATTGTATGTCTTAAATTCTTTGTGGTGCATCCACCTTGAACTAAGGTCACATCTGTCGTAAATCTGAAGGGAAAGGATAAAAGACGTCACTAAGTCATCCACAACATTACCAGAAATTTGGGTCCGGCTCGCTGCCCAACATACGGGACATCCCACAATATTGGGTCTGGCTCGCTGCCCAACATACAGGACATCCCACAATATTGGGTCCGGCTCGCTGCCCAACATACAGGACATCCCACAATATTGGGTCTGGCTCGCTGCCCAACATACAGGACATCCCACAATATTGGGTCTGGCTCGCTGCCCAACATACAGGACATCCCACAATATTGGGTCCGGCTCGCTGCCCAACATACAGGACATCCCACAATATTGGGTCCGGCTCGCTGCCCAACATACAGGACATCCCACAATATTGGGTCTGGCTCGCTGCCCAACATACGGGACATCCCACAATATTGGGTCCGGCTCGCTGCCCAACATACGGGACATCCCACAATATTCAATTGTGACGACATTCAAAACTGTCGAGAAGTCGTCTTCTTCCATACTTCCATTCCCCCCCCCCCCCTACTATAACCGTGTTCCCTCCCCTCTACTCTTACCTTGTTCCTCACCCTTACCTCACTCCCCCCTTTCACCCTATTCCCTTAACTTACCTTCTTCACCTTCCTTACCCTGTTCCCCTACCCTTACCTTGTTCCCCTTGATGACCAAACAGCACATCAGAAAATAGAGAAACGGCGACGTTTCGGTCCGCCCTGTACCATGGTCCAAGATAGACTGAAACGTCGGACCAAACCGTCGTCGATTCTCCATTATCTGAGGTGTAGTTTGGTCATTATATCTTCAGCCACGTGATGGTGACTGGTCGTTTACTTCCCCTTCCTTACCCAGTTCCCCTCCCATCTCTGCTGACAATCACCGGCGGGTAAACACCGATGTCTTCCATAAATGAGACAAACAGATCTAAGACACACACACACACACCACAACCGCTCAACATTAGCCAGAACAAAATGGCAGACCTGGAAAATGGCTGACATGTTGTTTTTGTGGCCCTTTGATGGAGGCTAGCAAGTGACCTGCGGGTGGGGGGGGGGGGGAGGGTCGTGGTTGGTGAGGGGCTTGGGTGGGGGGGGTCGTGGTTGGTGAGCGGCTTGGGTGGGGGGGTCGTGGTTGGTGAGGGGCTTGGGTGGGGGGGTCGTGGTTGGTGAGGAGCTTGGGTGGGGGGGGGGTCGTGGTTGGTGAGCGGCTTGGGTGGGGGGGGGTCGTGGTTGGTGAGGGGCTTGGGTGGGGGGGGTCGTGGTTGGTGAGGGGCTTGGGTGGGAGGGGTCGTGGTTGGTGAGGGGCTTGGGTGGGGGGAGGGTCGTGGTTGGTGAGGGGCTTGGGTGGGGGGGGTCGTGGTTGGCGAGGAGCTTGTGTGGGGGGGGAGGGTCGTGGTTGGTGAGAGGCTTGGGTGGGGGGGTCGTGGTTGGTGAGAGGCTTGGGGGGGGTCGTGGTTGGTGAGAGGCTTGGGGGGGGGGTCGTGGTTGGTGAGAGGCTTGGGGGGGGTCGTGGTTGGTGACATATAGATAGGGTCGCTAGCTACATAGGGAGCAACTAGGTGTACCGACCTATTTGGGTACAACGTGATTGGGCTCTGATGTATAATAATGGAACACTTTGCCCCTTGGGTGTAAGATAATGGGTCACTGCTATACAGTATACAGTTTACAATACGTATACAGCATACAATATCTGACGAAGAACTATAAACACTGGACTATGTTCATTACTAAAGAACAGTTGTTGGTTGGTCAGTATCAAGGCTTTAATAACCCTACAGAGGGTGACTGATCTGTCTATCTCCAGACGACCGTAACACCGAATTTGTACTTTGAATTTGAATTTGTAAATTGTCACATGAAATAATAAACAACTCATAAGTTAAATTTTTAATTGAAATTACTA